CCCTTGCCCCCAACCCCCTGTTTTTCATTTTTCCTCTTTTACATTATGACACCCCAAGGAAGACTGGATGAACGCATGGGCCACAGGTATGACAGAAAGGATGATGTATGGCCACATGAATAAACCACTGATCAAATACCCAGTCAATGAATTGAAGAGGGGAGATCAATCCATAAACTTCCAACTGAGAACACAACATGTACCCCTCAACCAAAATCTCAAACCCAATTGGAGTAAAGCAGTCTGCTGCCTGCCCACAATGTGACTACCCCTCAGAGACAGTGGAACACCATCTGTAATTCCGTAGAAGACTAACTGATTTAAGGGGATGTTTTCTTCCCAAGCTACCCCACACATCTAACTGCCTCTACTCCTCAAGACAACAAGTAGAACAGACATGGAGCTATTACAGAATGGCATCATGCAGACGAGTTAACACACAGATGCTACTGGATCATTAACAACAACAACAACAACAACAACAGTGTTATGATGACAAACTGTAAAACGGCCGCCTGTCTAAAACAACCACCTGTCTAAGACGGCCGGCCACGTTTTTCCTGGACAATGGGAGACCGTCTAGGACAGTTCCGACTGTCGTTGTGGAATGTTGACTCATTATCCAGGGCATGTCACTCCCTGTCACAGCGAGACTGGAACGACAGTCGATGACACGGCACCATTTTTAACCCTTTCTAATAATAATAGATGGCATTTGTGTTGCGCAAATCCCAGCTCAAAAGCAAGCTCTATGCGCTTCACAATCTACACTACCTATTACCCCAGCAGACCTGAGAGCATTCTGAAACAACCTCAAATTTCTGGGAAGCATGCAGTGCAAGCAGCCATTTATACGGGCTAAAACACAAACATACTGACAAGATCTTTCGCTGTCTATGGCCGGGGGGTATCCATTCCCACCTGGGTGAAGGGAGGAAAATTCGTGTAAAGTGCCTTTCCCAAAGACACAAGGTCGTGCCCGCGGCTCGAACCCCCGAACCCGCAACCTCACGATTACGAGTCCGGTAGCCTAACCACTAGACCACCAACGCCACAACCCTTTCTGCACGCTGTTCACGGAGAGATGCCTGAGAGAAACAACTGTGAGACTGAGATGACGGTCAGTAACACGTAACAATGTTCATCCCTTTCTATATGCTGTTCACGGAGAGACGCTCTGGAGAATTTTGTTTTGGTAAGTGTTTTACGGCGCTCACAACTGCATAAACGTCATATGAGCGCGCACGACAAATTAAACATCTTCAGTTGGTAGAAAATTTTGAATTTTGCCCGGGAGGCGGCTGAAGCCTACTCTTATCGATTTTGGACCACCAAGGAATCTTTAACCTGGGCAACTTGCACACGGGCCCCCGGGATTTTTCGCCCTTGCCCAAGACGGCTAGGTGCAAATCTTTCCTACCTTAAAATCAGGGGTGTGGCTGAAAGACAGCAGTAAGAATGAGCCAATGAGTAGCAGTAGAGAGGCTGTAGAAAGAGCCAGGAGCCCAGAGGATGGAGCAAAGGAGGTGAGGGGGTAGGGGTTGAAAGCGGAGACGAAAGCAGACGATAGAACATTGGTAGAAAGCAGGAAAGGAGGTGAAAGTAGACAATTCTAGAGGATAAATTTTTCCGTCGCTACCCGGATTCAAACCCGAGACCTTTAAAGGAGAGGGGAACACATTAATTAACCTCTAGGCCACGACAGCCCCCGCCCTGCAGAAACAACAACAAGATAGAGATGACTGTCAATGACACGGAGCAATGTCCATCCCTTTCTGCACGTTGTTCACAGAGAGACTCGGTACATGTAGTTAGCTCGCTACATCACAATAACAAAACAGTTATTTAATTAATGGTTTTAAGAGGGTTTTTTTTGGTAGGTTGTTTTGTTTTGGGTTGTCGTTTTTTTATTTGGAGGGTGAGGATATTTGTTTTTGCGTTATGTTTGAAGGGGAGGTTGGGTTGTTTTTTTTGGTCTGTTATTTTGCTTTTATTTTGCTTTTTTTTTTGTTTTGTTTTTTGTTTTTGTTTTTGTTCTCCTGAGCATTAATTGTTGCGGAAACTGGATATACAGTCTTTTA